TGGCATATGAAATTATATCATGATATAAATCATGTATACAATATATATATATATGTGTGTGTGCGTGTATGATATATGCAATGATGTCTGATTAATGGATGCTGCACATGTCATGCACAACCAAGAATTTTCAAGAAGGGAGATGATGTTTCACCTTTGTGGCAAGCAGTTGCGGAGGGATCCGGAGGGCGCCACGGGCTCGCTGGAGGTGACAAAGGCCTCGAAAGTGGTGCTTTGAAGATTGCAAAGCAGACACTCAGACGCAGAATGCGTAGAGCTGTTTGGATTGGAGATTTTGGCACAGATAATTACTGGCTGGTGCTTTCTGGTTTCAAAGAGTCCTTGTTGATGTGTTTCTATGTTCAACATTCCGCAATCATATTTGGGAAAATGACTAAGATTGTCGGGATGGGTTGAAGTCCTCACTATGACGAGTTAATTGGTACTGTATCTGAAGGATGCCAATATTGAGAAGGTAATACAGTACCAATTGTGCAACATGCTAGGGCTGAAACGGTGAATTTTCGTATGGAAAGGTGGGTTGAACCTTCCAGCCTTGAAAGTGTGTATTTTTTCTCGATGGTTTTGAAGCTTTGTCAGTCTCGTGTTCTGCGCGACTGTTCTCCCTCCAAACAGTCAAAACTTCTTCATGCACAAAAATACATTGACATGGAGAGAGAGAGACATTTGGTGGATTGAGACACCGTGTGAGGTGTGCAACATTTCAAGGATGCTCACGGATCTGAATTCTGATCGGGCTTTGGAACCATTATTCATCATTCCCAATAAGCAAAGTCAGAAAAGTGTCATGTCATGGCATTGTTTGTTCTGAGTGTATTTCGATGGTGTTTCCAGTGGTTTGGAAACACCAAATCAGGTTAAGCGCTCATATAGCCAGGTATTTCTTTGGATTGAGCATGTTTAAACGCCATTGAAGAGGTATCATTATCATATATAGAGTTTCTTGTAAACGTGGAACGTTACCCTTCGATGATTTACAGTTTGCTATGGAAAATCACAATGTTGAAGAACGGTAAACCATCATGCTTATCATCTGTAAATGGACGATTGCTTCCATAGCTATGTCAAATAACCAGAGGGTACTCATCTTACCAACCAATATTAACCAATGATAACCCATGATTGAACAATGATTAACCATTATTTTGTGGCCAATATGAACCCATCATTGACGCAGCATTAACCAATTTACTGTCAGCTAGGCACGTGGAAGAAGCGGCCAAAAAAGCTAAGCAGCGCAGGGCGAAGAAGATCAAATGTGGCGTGGCAACTTTCGCTTCTTCAATGGCTGATGGAGTAAAAATGGTTGAGAATGGGTTACCCTCTGGTTATTTAACATAGCCATGGAAGCCATGGCCCATTTATAGATGGTTTACCTATTAAAAATAACCAGATGGTAATTCAATAGTGGTTAGTGGCCAAATGACCAACCATGACGAAAGGATGAACATTGGATAATTGGTCTAGCCTCTGAGGTAAACGTTTACAGTTTGCTATGGAAAATATCCCATTTGGCTCGATGATTTACCATGATTTACCTGTTACAAGTGGTGATTTTCCATAGCTACGTTAGTTCACCGGAGGGTAATTCAATCCCAGAAAAACATGAAATAGCCCTATGATTGGAACAACCGCAACCCAAAAAAAAGGCATAGATTCAATACCAATCCAGCTTTTGCAGAGGGTATTGAATATTAGGCCTATAGTTGGCTATAGTAGGATCCCTTCCCAAATAAATGCAGCAAATAAATATCCACAAATTAGTTGTTGCACGTGTTATAGCATGCTGTAGCTTATCCTTGGGTCCCAGGTCAAAATTCCGTGAAAACGCTCATCAAGTAAAATTTGGCTGATACAATTCAAGAAGCCAAAAAATGATACGATCATGAGTGTGGATGTTTCGGGTGCCCAATGAAAAATGACTCGTTTCAATCAACAGCGAAGCTGATTTCACACCCAAGAGACGGCATTCCAGGAGCGAACAGGCAGATTCAACCTTAAGATGTATTAAGTGAAGAGTATTGGTTAATATGGTACAACATATGAACATATATGAACCATAATATCGTGAATATTAATGAAAACATAAGATGAGACAACATGATAGCAGCACCGGAATCATGTGGATGTGGTAGTCCCCATTTGGGTAAAGACCTTTGTTGTTCCCTCTGGTAAATCCAAGGATTTTTGGCTTAAGTTCACTATCATTCATGTACGTGCTAAGGATCTTCAAATGTTTTGTACATGATCGTCTAAGTCACTTATATAATCTTATATATAATTAATTATAATTATATATATATGTGATATAGAACGAGTTTCATTGTTTGTGAAGAGTTGTCATTTTGGAATGGCCATCTCCATCCAGCAGGCGGCGGCTGTGGCGCCCTCTTGAGCGATGCGGAAGCCTTCGCTTCCCACTGCGGAGAGGTGGAGCATGACGACGACTTTGCCTACGCCCTTTGGCGCTTGAGATGGGACGGAGATGAACGGAGGGAGCGCTTTGGAACGAGTGGTATCCATACATTCCCGAAACTGGGAAGAGTTTCCCAACCACATGATAGCTTTTTCCGTGGAATTCACCGAATATCCGGGAAAATAAAGGATTTAACCTCTAACAACCAACAACTATCCATAGAGTTGGGATTTGACCAAAAAACTAAGGAGTTAACAACCAACAGATATGGACAAAATATGGCGAAGTTGTTTTTTATTTGACACAAAAATCAGGAGCTACCAACCAACTAATCCCTCCCCTAATATTATGCATCCCCGAGAAACCTTGGTTTAGCATGGCCATGGGATTTAAACATTAATAAGCATGGGGTGTTCAATAGAAACAGGGGACGGGATTATGAATAACCCAGCCCTTCCATTGTCAGGACTGCGAAGAAGTGGAAGTTGTCATTGTTTCTTTGGCGCAATGTTTTAGAATGGGACCATCGGAATGGGGAACAAAGATTTTCTTAAGCGCTCAGTTAAGCATTCCACCTGCACTGGCTGCTCACCTGCTTACAATGTGTTGAGAAGGGGCATGTGCGGCATGATCCTGTGAGAAAATGTAAACTGGCAATAAGTCACCCATGAATTTGAAGCCTTCTAGTTACCCTCTGGTTATTTTACATAGCCATGGAAAATGGCCCATTTATAGATGAATTTCCCATTAAAACCTCCATTTATAAGGGATTTTCCATGGCTATGTTAAATAACCAGATGGTACCCCCCAATTCAGCTGTTCAAACCACTGATTGACTGTCTCATATCACGGTGGTGGAGCGACCTACCTTTGAATCCAGATTGTTTATGATTTGTCCAGATAGTGGGTTGTCCAAAAATTTATGATTTGCACCAATATAGCGAAAATACATTAAAATATCGAAAATAACTATTCGAAAATACAGATTTGAATAGTGCAAATGAAGTTTCAAGTTTTGGGGGTTTGAGGTGTATCCCATTTTTAGACTAGCCCAATCGATGTGCTGTTCAAAAACAGGACTTTGACCAACAAACACGGTGTAAGAAAATCTTTGCCTGCCTTTACATGTTCCATGTCTACATCCTTCCCAGAATTCGTGCAAGAGAAAATCCACAGGGAAAAGCGATTGTCGAGGTAAACACATGTAAACACCATGTTTTTTTCCGTAGATGTTCCTTGAAAAATCAAGCCATGTTACATCCCTCACCTCAGGGCTTTTTCAAGGTCCATGGTTTTCATATCCAAAAAAGTGTCGCAAAAAGGAAGAGGGCGATGAGCTGCCAGATGGCACCATTGACCTCAATGCGGATCACATCTACAGCCCCTGGGTTTAGACGCGAAAGTTTGGATCCATGGTTGGCTAAGGCTGCTAAGGCTAAGGGGGAAGAACCCACTACTGTAGAAGCTCCCAGAACTGCCTTTGCATGGTATATAAGTGGCTTTGCTGACTGCTCCGCATGGATGCCAACTTCAGGTGTAGCTACGTTTTTGTTTATATAACCCTTCATATCAATATCATGCTGATGGTTCCATGAAAAACTTCCATGGAAGTGCCTCCTTCCCCAGCAGAATCCCGGTCACGCCGACTCTAGCACTATCATCCCAACAAACATAGATCCTGCCAGATACGGAGTTTGGGAAGACTACTTTCCTCTAATAATGCCTCCAACAAATGGTGATTCTCACGGTCAATGTTAGTTGAGGTGGTGGTAAATATCAGGGGGAAGGGATTGCGGTGAACCGTTGTGTTGCGTCCGTTGTATCCTCCAGCCAGAGGTTTCAGCAACACGGGTAAGGACCCGATTTGGCGAATTTTCTGGGTGGATTCCACATGCTGACCCTGGCATGGAGGGGGCGGTTTAGGAAGGAAAAGGGGTATGGTGACATCTTCAGGGCGGCAGTTCGGAGTCCAAGTTGCATGAACAGAAGCAATGCGTCAGTGACCTGCTTCATGTGCAAATTGTGGCTTCAAATATGTCACGATATTGAAAGCAATATCTCCTTCAAGTTTTTCAGGTGTTTTGGGATAACTATCCTACCTCACTAGTCACTAGTTCTTTCCCGCTCCACTTCTTCAGCTGCATTCAGCTGCTGCGTTTTGCCAGGACCCTTTGTGCCATGTGTCTCGGCAGAATGGACAGCCTGCGTTCAGCAAATGGCCATTACAATGAGGAAAATCAATGGAAACGACGCCCAACCAGTGAATTTGGTGAGCTATAGGCCCCACATGTTTCACTTATGATCCACCCATGCCAGCTCCTTTGAGCCAAGGCATTTCCAGCCACCTTCACAGTTGGTGGTGTTAGCATCTTGGCTGCAGCGGTCATAGTGGGGCCCTGGTTTGTTCGAAAGGTGATGATGATGATGGTGATGATGATGATGGTGATGGTGATGGTGATGGTGGTGCTGATGATGATGATGATGATGATGGTGATGGTGATGGTGATGGTGATGGTGATGGTGATGGTGATGGTGGTGATGATGATGATGGTGATGGTGATGGTGATGGTGATGGTGGTGCTGATGATGATGATGATGATGGTGATGGTGATGGTGATGGTGATGGTGATGGGATGATGATGATGATGATGATGATGATGGTGATGGTGATGGTGGTGCTGGTGCTGGTGCTGGTGCTGGTGCTGGTGCTGGTGCTGGTGCTGGTGCTGGTGCTGGTGCTGGTGCTGGTGCTGGTGCTGGTGCTGGTGATGGTGATGGTGATGGTGATGGTGATGGTGATGGTGATGGTGGTGCTGATGATGATGATGATGGTGATGGTGATGGTGATGATGACCATGACCATGACCATGACCATGACCACGACAATGACAATGACAATGACAATGACAACGATGAATCGCTGTGTTGGACCAACCAATGACATGACAATGACTGACGACTGAGGTTTCCCCACCATGGAGCACTACTGGCAGGCCAGCTGCGGTAGGGTTCCGCTATAAAGACACCTTCTAGGTGAGGGTTGCCATTGTTTGCATTATTGTTTTTAGGCGATGTCCAAGTTTAAACAGCCACAGTAACCAGGGTCAACAAATCATGGTTAGCAGGGCCACCCCTATCTGATCCTTAACATTCCTTAACGCGATGTCGCAAACCACCATGGTTTCCAGCCGGAAACTGCCAGGCATCCCAGTTCCTGGGCGTCAATGATGACTTGGTGCGCAAAATCGCCGGCGCCTCCCTGGACGATGCTTTGATCCTGGCTGGGGGCAGCGCTGATGCTCGCAGCGACTGGCGGGATAAGAGACACGAAGCTTGGCGAAACCGAAGCGGTCTCGTGCTTCCCCGACGCTTGTAGCGGCAAGAGCAGGATGGCAAACAAAAAAGGCACATTAAGATTGGAGGCATCAAGAATGGAATGCAACCATCGCAAAAGTGTGGAAACGGACAAGCCAAAAAAAAAACATGTCAGTCACTATTTGTTCCCCACACGAGGTGTGTTTTTCCACCTGGACATCAAGTCACAACATCAGGGTTCTCTCGGTTATCTTCTTTTACGTGTTGTTTCTCTTCTGCGGCAGTACAAATGCCAAAAAGTTGCGGCTCAGGAACTCTTGCAGCAAGGCCTTGAGGCGAAGGCCGGAGCTACAAGATTTCCGATGTCAAGCTATGGAAAGATCATAGGAGATTATAGTGAAGAATAGTCGCGCAACATGCGTGGAAATGGCGAAAGTCATTGATGTGAAAGTTTGCCTTATCATTGATGTGAAAGTTTGCCTTCTCTGAAATTGTGTGTAAACGTGCTCTTTTTTTGCAACCCAACATCTCCAATCGAGAATATGTGGCCCGATGTTCCTTGGGAAAAAGGCTCACATTCGGGTGGATGGGCTGCTGATGGTGTTACAGTTCGTTTTTTGCCGTTCTTTTCATGGGCAGTGTTGATGTATGTTGATGTTTGCTGATGTCGCCTGGGAAGTTCCATGGGGTCCCTTCCCAGGCGGCTCAAAGTAGCACGTTCAAGGATGCGTTGCTGGGCACCGGTGACAAGACCCTGGTCTACTTGGATGCAGACCCTTGGGCTGGCATGATGGCGCCAGGTGGGATCGGGGGGTTAGACTGACTGAGCAGATTGGCTACAGGGGGGCATATTATATGTATATATTATATGTGTTTATTATTTATATATGTGTGTATATATATATGTGTGTATATATATATATTATATAGGTATATATATATTATATAGGTATATATATATTATGTAAAATCCACCCTGAAGCCTACTAGTGTGATGGACACTTGTTTTATATTTAATTACAATTAGTTTGATTATTTTTGCTGCTATACAAATGTGCAGGATGATGGAAGAAGTTACCTTGCGCCACCAACTGTTCAGTTGATATTCAACGGGATACACACAATGCTAGGTGCGGTTTTCCTTACTCTTCTGCAAAAGAAGTGCAGATACGGCATGTATGTGTGCATGCATGTAAGCTTCTTGAGACTAGGGACATGGGCAACGGTTTCGGAAGCGTCACTCACTGTCCAGAAAAGCGGCTTGGGGGAAACTATATGAATTTTCATCGTGTTCAGCCAGATCTTTCTAGGATAGATGCCCCTAGCTTACAGATGCAGGTGGTCTGGCTACGGGTCAGAACTATGTGGGGAAGGCAACCGCAGTTGGGCGTGACAGGAGGGAGCACACCATCCGCTCAATACAAAAAGATAAAAACATTGTAAGTTTTCATAACAGAGGGGGTGGCAAGGGACATGCTTGCAAAGCTGCAGGACTGCATTCGGGCAAGAAAATGCAAGAAATATCTCTATTTTTTTGTTTTTGGTCAAATCCCTGTATCTAACTTTTTTTGGCGGGTATTTTGTTGCAACCCTGCCCAGGGAACAGAGCCCACGCAGTAGCATCCCCACACACACCTTGGTGATTCCTGTGGCGCCGCCTCTGGCCACGGAAGGCGCTGATGGACCTTCGTACCAAGCTTCGGCCCTCGTGATGTTGGCCCACCCGTGGCAGCTGTGACCTTTCAAGCGGTGACACGGCAAAAGGGTAAGCAAAGGATAGCACAGGGCGGTGGTGGTTTCAAAAGCTTTGGGTTGCCTTTCCTTCTTGCATGTGGATGATGACCTTAAATTAATTGCGAATCACTATAATTAATTAAAAAGTGTGTCCTTTTGGGACGCGATGAGGCCACCAACCACTAGCCAGATAAGCATTTGCGCCCAGTCCAGGATAGGAAGTCGTGTGCGCCGTGCCCCGAAGTTGCTCGCATTTGAGGAACCACCATCTATATACGGTAAATCGTGCAGCTAAACCTCTCCATCCAGATCAACTTCCTCTGGACATGGGTTACCATGTCCAGTCCAGGGTGGAACGTCATGTTGCAGAAGCCTACAGTTCCAAGCAGGGTCGTGGGGGCGCAAGGTTTGGCTCCAGCATGATGGATAGATATAGTGTTTAGTCTTGCTTTCAAGCATTGCGGTCCAAGTGGTGTATGCACGCGCGTTTGTCTATGGGGCTTTGGAGGTCAAATATATTAGCATACACATGTGGGTCTTATCCATGCACGAGTTTTCAACAGCAATGGGGGCAACTATTCTAGACATGTCCAAACAAGGATTGCAGCAATACCAGCCTCGTTCATGGAGGTTCGGCGAACCTGCCGGATCTATGCTTTTTGCGGCGAGGGGCCCACTTTGGGCATAAATTCGGGCTCACTTGGGGCATAAATTTGTCAGGTTCACTTGGGGCATAAAATGGGCTCACTTGGGGAGGGTCTTACACAACTTGTGCAAATGTTATTTAGAGTCGCACTCTTGCCAGTTGGGTTTGTGTTCGGTCCAACTTCTCAAACAGCCGCCGTGTGCGCTGCCATGTGCTGATATACAACATTTGCAGGTGTCCTTTTTCCTCAGGTTATTCCATGTTTTCCAGCCCCAAATCGTTGCAACATCCAGCAATAGAGCTGCGCTGCGCCTGCCATGTCCAGCGGATTCACGGGAGCCCGCGTGAATCAAAAGGATACCAAGCAGAAAGAGTTCAGCACCGTCAATAAGGAGTCGAATGGCTGTGAGACCGAGCCGAATGAAGCCGAATGAAGCCACCATTCGTCGTGTGAAAAAAGTAGGGCGCCTTGTAGAATTTTTAGAATGCTGAGCAGTGCTGATATGAAGCATGACCATACCATCGATTGCTCAAGGGAAGCTTGAGCAAGGCATTGTGAATAGACATGGCAACACGCATTTCACTTTGAAATCACCTTTTCAGCAAAGGATTTGGGGTTGGTGGCCCCAAGGGGATGATTCAACGATTTGTGGTGATGGCAAGCTGGGTGTTCGGATTTGAAGAAGGAAGTATCGGGTACCCCTGGTTGTGCACATGTTTGAGAATCCTAGCTGGTGGTGGTGACAGAGTAGAACGGGTTGGAAACCGGAGGGGTTCCATCCGACCGCCGGTGGGAGGGTGCCCTGGCAGGATGGCAAGACGGTCTGGGAACCGGGGCTTCCAGCTTTGGTCACTTCCCGGCGCCAGCATCGACCTCGACCTGCCGCGGGTGCTGCAGCTGCCGTGGAGGATGCCGGGGGGAAGGGGGAGGTGAGGCAACAATTGATATTAATGGATTGCAGCCATCTTCAAGCCATTTTGTGGATTGGATGGGCTTACCACAAGTCCAGGGGAAGAGAAACATGAAGAATTGGGCGGAGATACCCTTCAAAACATGCCGCGACCCGCTAGGATGTTCCTCCAGTGTCGTGCGACCTGAGACTGATCTTGAAGATGTCAGCATCCAACAAGGCCAGTTGGTTCCACGCGCAACGGTTGGGCTTACGCCTGAAACTTTGTGCTTTGCAAGGAGCCGTGAACCGGTTTTAGCAGCATGAAGCATCCGCGAGAACAGTTGACAATGTGGATTTCGAAACACATCTTGCAGAAAAGCAAAGCCAGAGTCGGAAACATGGCAGAACCTGCAAAGCTAGCTGGTTCATAGCTGATACCCGTAGTTCTTCTCATTCTTCTTGAGTACCCCATCAATGGCCCAAAAATGCTGCATGTGTTCTGGTGCAAAGAGTGCGTGTTGTGTTCTTGTACCAATGGCCCGGTCACTTTGATTGCGTTTTAAGCTGCATGGCCCCCGCCATATTTGCAAATTACAGTCAGGTAAAGCAAGACAGAATTCCAAAGATCCCACCACATAGGATTTTCCCACCATATCTGCAACCCTCCATGCGGTTGCAAAAGTCGAGGGAGATTGGCTGGAAAAGGCTCTGAAAGCCATGATGGCCGGCAAGACCAAGGTGCAGGACGACATCCTCCGTTCCGAGGGCGTGATGTTTGTCCAGGTATTCCGGGTTTCAAAGAAAATCATGATCTCCAAAAATGCGCCCGTAAAAGATTGATATTCTTAAGCATGGCATGTCTGAAATTGCCATGACATTAAACCAAACACGACACCCATTGGCAAACTGACAGTGGTCCATCGCAAGCATGGCAATTTTTCCTTCTTTGCAAACCGCTTTGAAAATGACCGAAAAATTTGGTTGCCATGTCAGTTTTCTGCCCCACCTGAAGCAAGCTATCAAGACATCGCAACATGGCCGCAGGATGTCTTCAACATCGTGACCCACCCAAAGTTTGCTTCCGGCGTGTCGGAAAAGTATGGAAAGCGCCACTTGGACTTGATTTGAACATTTGAGCTGGGCACAGCTGGCAGTCTGCTTTATCCAGCACAGCTGGGCAAACGCAGCTTAAAGTGCAGTAATTGGGAATTCAGGTCAACGGTGCTTGTAGGCTCTGCCACCAAACTGATTGGCCCAACATTGATTTAGGCAATTGCCGACGAACTGGCGGGAATGATTACTGTACCCCATGATATTTGCAACCTTGCAGGGTTGACGCGGGTTAGGGCTGATTAACCGCGTCCATGCTCACAGAGCCATTAGAACATATTGGTAGCCTGCTGGCCAAATATGGTTTGTAATCCCTTTGTCCTTTGCGCCCTTTTTCAGGAATGTTTCAAATGGTGACTGAGAACATGGACCAGTTCTCCGACAAGCAGAGGTTGACTCTCTCGAGGCCCGTTGCAAGAGCAGGGGATTTGGAACGCGCCGAGGCACGCTAATAGCCTTGGCTGTAGACCGGGCACCCCCACTGCGCAACTTCTTGGAAGGGAATCAAGCAACTCGTTTATCAACATCTTTAGGTGAAGGTTGCAAGTTCAAGCTTGTCTCCGTCCCCTTATGTATGCAAGTGCATCCTTCAAATATTGAGATGTTTCCCTCAGTGCTACTGCCACAAAAATTGCATACTTGAGCTACTCCACCTCAGGTAGATGGAGGGAAGGACGGAGGGATGGATAGAGAGGCAGAGAAGTAGGCAGGGAGATTGACCAGGAGATAGATCGGCAGATTGCAGTTGATTGATTGGTAGACAGACAGACGGACAGGCAGGCAGGCAGACAGAGAGGCAGACAGGCAGACAGGCAGATTGATAGATACATGGATGTATAGATAGCATGGACCAGCATGGATAGGCAGATAGTGAGAGAGATAGAGAGAGAGAGAGGGAGAGAGTTAGAAAAAAAGAGAGAGCGCAGCGCAAGAGATGGATATGTTGATTGAATGATATTGAATGCCTGAAAGGGTGGCTGGCAATTAGGCAGGCAAAGGAAGAGTGGAGCAAAACATGGCAGATAGGAGCCATAAATAGGCAGGCAGGTAAATCGACAGCCTGAATGATTGACAGATCGACTGGCGGACACCAACAGACAGGTGGACAGAAGGAGAGAAAGAAAGCGAAAAAAAGAAGAAAAGGAAGGTAGGCAGACTGACAGCAAGCAAGGAAGCAAGGAAGACAAGAAGGAAAAATGCATCAAAACAAGAGAAAGATGGAAGGAAGGAAGGAAGGAAGGAAGGATAGGTGAGCAGATGGATAGTGGGACAGACATGTAGACAATTTCCCGTTTGCATCTCTTGACTCACCCGCTCCAGTGCTTTTTCCAACCCAAGATCCAATCACTGAGCCAATCGCTGCAGCGGGGCTGGGTTCAGGTGTAAGCTGGCCTCGGGCGATGCCAAGGAGGACTCAGAAGACGAAGCCAAGATCAAACGCCGGCGCAGGTGCCGTGCGTGGCCATGGGGACCATGGCAGCTGGTCGTGGCCATGACAATACACCTGACTCAATGTTGTCTCGGGGGGAATTTGTCAGCTTGGATGCGGGGTTCCATGTTCAAAACACGCCCTTCAATTTCATCACCTGTGTTTCCAACCCTGCGCCCCAAAGATGCAACCTGTTTCTTCTTGGTGATCTACAGTAACCAATAAGCTTGACCATACTTCCTCAGGCAAGCAACTGGATATGCCCCCCGAGCCGTACCCTCGTATTTTTTCTTCATGTTTATTTGGTAGGCTTTTGGGCCCGTGGGACGGTTACCTTGTTTTTCAGAGCCTACTCTGTGGTTTGGGTTTGCAGTTTCAGAACCAACAGTGACTAACAGCTAAGCATTGATTCCGATTTTTTGGCGAGGACCGATCAACCCCGATTGGTACCCCACCCCTGGGTAGGACCCATGTGCCATAATGTGTCATAATGTATCAAGATGTGTATGATGTGTCCCAGAAAGATGCAAAGTTTCATCATTCCCAGGTGTCCATCTAGTTGTTTTTTGTCGGTTAAAAAGATCAAAACCCTCAAACCAAACAGTGTTGTTGATCCGATGGTCGGACTGTTTTGCCCGCCCAGGAGCCGTTCCAGGAGCCATGCCAGGTGCTGCCAAGTTTTGTCCTTGTTTCTGGTTAGCTGAATGATTGTTTAAGGGGAGGGCCTGGTTGTGCTTATTGAATTTTATGAGTTTACTCGGCGTTTTCTGGCTGCTGGTTCTTCATGAGTTTCTGATCCTTGGACACAATGTAAGTCATGGTGAAATCAGCAACCGTTTTCGAATGTTTTCGTTATGCGTCGCTCCTTGCTTGGGATGATACCCGTAGGGAGGATTTCCAGTGAATGATTTTTTGGGAATGAGCTGCGCAGCCACAGGGCATGATCATACCATGCATTTGCGTAGGTGACTGTTATGAACAACGTGCCACTATTTGCTGGTCAATCTCCATTTTGCCTGCGTGCCTCCCTTGCTTTTAATTTGATTATGTATATATATATAATTATATATATATATACACTTTGACTAATTAAGTTGTTTCAATAAAATTGCAGGGGGGGCCCATTTCTGCGGCTTTGGTCTTGGCATTTTTGGTAGCAAAATCTCACCTTTCGGCGAAGTTTCAAGTCTGGAAGGTGATACTGTCGGTTTTTTCCGGTTTGCCTGGACAGGTCGACAACAGCCTCACCTCCTCGTTGGGATCCTAAAAGGGATGCGAGGGCGGCCGCAGGCAATGCGGGCTACAAATTGGCTGGCTGTTAGCTTCAAATTAACCAGATGATTTAGGAAGGAACCAGGTGACTATATATAATTATTAAGGGGATCATGCAGGCTGTTGCCCCCTCCAACGTTTGAAGGGTTATTTCGTGCTGAGTCAACTGAGCCACTGCCGGCTCTTGGACAGGTTGCTTCAAGCATGTGACTCGATCTCCAAGTAACCGTCGCCCTAAGATTTAAAATTAACAGATCCAGCACTAAGCCAAAGTTTTTTTGGGAGTGTTTCTGGTAAGCACGCGATTGAGTCTTTAGTGTTTGATACCTTTGGTGGCCCCCAGTGACCTGACCCAAATCCAAACCCAAAGTTCTAGTCGTGCAGAGAGCAAAAAAAAACGTGTTAGTTGCAAGATTCTTAGGTTGCAGGCTTTGGCACAGGTAACAATGTAGAAAGGCGGGTGTTTTGACAAGTAGAGTGCGAATTGCCCAAGATTACAACAACACGGTTGCATGTGCATAGCGGCATAGCGAAGGGTCTAGTTGCAGGATGTTGCAACCAGGTACCATAAAGTGGCAGGTGGCATGACAATCAGCAACTTGTCTTTTGTCTTGGCCAATTTGCAGCATAAGCACGGTGTAGAAGTCACCTTACTTAGGCTCGCTGCTAACAACTAGCTACTTTTTTAAACATGACCACTGCAGTCGTGGATATTGATAGCGCCTGGCAATTGATCAATGGCGCCGTGGCAAAACCATAAAAAGCTGGTTGTGGTCTAACTACCGGAATGGTTTCCGTCGATTTCTTCATACAACCATATACAGCCCCTAGAATCACAATAGTCAATAAGCCATCTACACATGCTTGGTGGTTGTCTTGATAGTGTTGCCGCTTGCATAGGTTTTGCTCCTCAAATCCCTGCTTTGGGTAGACTGTTTGACTATCTCCGCTAGCCTTGCTCCAGCTAACGATTTCAGGCCCACAGTCTGGAAATCCACAGCAGGAGGAGCCCGTGGATTTTACATGGGGGACTCAGAAATTGAGATTGTATATATAGAGCATCACAAGAAAGAAGTGCGAAGCTCAGATTATTATATATCTTATTTGCCCTTTCGAAACTAAGGTTATCACCGACAAAAATGATTATCTGTGCTTGCGCCAACAACAAGATTCCTTCCACCATTTTTTTTCGCGTGCGGCCAGCTGCGTATTTTCTGAAGCATTGTGAGAACAAAAGGAGAGACAAGTTGCGTGCAACTGATTGTCACTGAAAAAGCTCTTCTGGCAGAAACTATTTTTTAGATCCCCCTTGACTGTACCTGTATGGAATGGAAGAACCCATGCCCCGTATGAAATGGAAAAACCAACATCATTTCATACACGGCCCATCTTGGAAAAAGGGGCAAAAAACCCTTAAATTTTGGTGCCATGTTACACCCCTCCATTTCATACAAAACGATGGTAATTCCATTACATACAGCTGCATTTTTCTTTGGAATCATTAGTCCCAAAATCGGCATTTCCATAATATAAATGTTGTTTGCTATTTTTTGGAAGGTTCCAATTTGAACACTTACGGAAACTTGGAGATCTGTTAATCAAATGGAAGTTTCTTTCAGCGATCGATGTCTTGAAAATGAACCACTGAATGTTTGAAAAGTGATTGTGGAAAAACATATATATATATATAAAAGATTGTGGATAATAACCACAAATAACCCACATAACCCATAAAACAACATATAATCCATATAACCAAGTATAAACGTGACATTTCTCATTTTCTCGTTGTTTCCCCCTGTTTGGTTACCCGTTGTGTTACCCTGTTGTTTTGTCCCGGTGTGAATCCCATCGTGTTGCCCCGTCCCTGCCGGGTCGAAGTCCTCGAGCCATAAGAAGTGTATAAAATGGATCAATCATGAAAAAGTCCAGTGTTTGAAACACGAAATACAGAAACAATAGAAGATTATCCATTTTATACACCGAAATGTGGGGTAAATCTGTCCAGATTTACACCACATTTCGGTGTATAAAATGGAATAATCATGAAAAATCTAGTATTTGAAACATGAAATACAGAAGACGCTCCATTTCATACAAGGGGAATTTCACAAACACCTATGTTGTTTATAAAATGGATCGTTCTGGTATGTTAACGTGTCCG